CATAGATCTATTTCCCCATCCTCATATATAAATATATTTGCATATGTACATGTCTTTATCTAGACTTCTATAAATACCCTTTGCCTCCCAGCTCTTTCCTCTATTTGGGGCCTTTCTTCTTTGATTAATGTTAACCCATTCCTTACAAATCTTTGTTTCTTTATGGTACAGTTTCTTAACCTGGAATCTTAGGTCTTTAGGGAGTTCTTGTCGTGCATCATCAAGTTGATTCTGACTCGCCACAATCCTATGTGATGGAGGAGAACTGCCTTACAAGGTTTCCTAGGCTGTAATCTTTCCCAGAGCAGACTAGCAGGTCTTTTTATTTCTGAGCAGCTGAATAGCTTCCAACTGTAGACCCTTTAGCTTGCACACTTTTTAGTTAGCAACTGGGCCACCAAGACTCTTGATAGGGAGTTATGAAATCCCTTGCATTTTCTTGAGGATAACATGTGCGGGCTTTTGTTTCATTCTGAAAAGGGGTTCTTCATGAAAGAGAAGAAAAACATGTTTCTTTGCTTGTATTTACCCTTCTACTACCTTAATCTTCCTTCAACTTGAGGTTTTTCTCTTCCTCTCACAACCATGCTTTCTAAAAAAAGCTTACATTTTGTTTCCCCCTTTCTTTTGATTATTCGTCCATTTTTAAAAATGTATGGTGAAAGTGTACACAAATGATGGTACTCAAGCCTACAATTTTACATGGACAGTTCCCTGACAGTGGTTGCTTACTTCACGTTTCGTCACCATTCTCACTCCCTTACCCATATTGCTCTCTCACCATTAAGTTAGATCAAGGAAACTTGGTGGAGCAGTGGTTGAGCACTTGGTTTGTAGCCAAAAGGTCAGCAGTTCAAGCCCACAGCTGGTCTGCAGAGAAAGACAGCTGTCAGTGTCCTTAAAGAAAAGTTTATGGCCTTGGAAACCCAATGGGGGCAGTTCTACTCTGTCCTCTAGGGTCACTATAAATTGGAATAAACTTGATGGCAATGAGTTTGGCTTTGGAACTTAGGTCCTTTCCTTCTTAAAGTGCTCATCTAGAGTTATTGTTGTCAATTTGATATCAATAGATAGTTCTTTAAAAGAGTATACTGCTCAAGGAAAATATTTGCTGTTAATTGAGCTAAAATTTAGTTTAAAGATTCATGGGATAAAAGTATTTAAAAGTTGTTTCCAGGCAGTGGACTCAAAGGTTCCTGCAATATTAATGTATCCTGTAAGTCTGGTTTTTCTAAGAATTTTAAGTTCTGTACCTCATTTTTCTTTCTGATCAAGATCCACCTATGAGGACTTGCTATTGGATTAAAAGAGGCCAGGGAAAGAGAAAAAAATAATCCAAAATGACTCATTGGTTTTTGCCTTGAGCATAGTGCCATTTGCATGGGGAAGATTAGGAGGACACAGAAGGGGAGCAAGTTTCAGAGCAGGGTGCAGGTGAGGGAATGAAGAGATTTAATTTAGGCATTAAAGCTGAGATGATTGTGGACATCCAGTAAACACAGTATAACGTGTGGAATATGCCAATAGGTCTTGTTCACAATTCTTTGGAACATGGAGAGTGTATATTTTGTTTGGAAGAGGACAGGACAGAAGTACTTTTCCTTCCAGTTCTTTTCTCTGTATAGGCAGTTTTGGTGGTACTGTTGGTTTGGCACTGGGCTGCTAACCACAAGGTTGACAGTTCAAACCCCCCAGCTGCTCTGCAAGAGACAGTCAGCTATCTGCTTCCATGAAGATAT